CTAGTTAAAACTAGTTTTAACTCAAATTCATTTTTGACTAGCAGTAAATTCTAGTTTTAACTAGACAAAACGGGTTTTGTCTAGTTAATTTACTGCTGTACATGTTTTGACTTTAGATAAAACTAGTTTTAACTTTTAACATTAGTTAAAATTAATTTTAGCTACATAAATATGTTTGGGGGAAATAAATAAAGTTATGTATTCTGTGGAAGATGCCTAACATTTTGCTTATGAAGGAAATTACAGTGTTAATTTGGGTTTAGGAGCCCTGTAATGAAAATATCATATTCTGGAGTATGTTTTTCAAATAAAAGTTTGGAGTTTATTTTAAAAAATTGTATACTGTGTTTGCAATGACGACTTTTTCACTGTCTGACATTTTAGGCATCTCACCCTGAGTATCCGGGTGAGATGCCAAATGCCATTAGGGTAAGATAACAAATATAATTGCATAAAATTAATTTTTGAATTTCTTAACCAAATTTAATTTATTGCATATGTAGTACAAAGTACTTCATAGTAAGTATAACAGCACAGTATAAGTATTGTTAAGTTTCCGCCCGTTCTAACGTGTTCTATAGCTAGCTGAAAGCATTTTTCAGTCCAAAAAGTTTTTTGAGAAGTCCTTATATAATTTCTATGCATATCCTGCAATAAAACGAGAAAACAAAAGTTTATTAAAAATAGGCATATTAGAAATCAATTAACAAAAAATAGGCACGTTACCCCAAGAAAAATGTGGCATCTTTTCCATTTTTTGGGGTAAGATGCCTAGTAGAGTTACATGCTCCAGCATGTCCGATCAGGATCGGCGGTAGCTGACAATGGAAACTTTAGAACCTGAACTACATCACACATTAATTGTTTTTAGCAATTTTTAATAAATTCCATTTTAACTTTTAGTTTAAAATTATTCTAGAAACATTTCACAACAAAAACTTCGTTCTTATCTAGCTTTTATTCTTGGATGTAGAAAATGAAGTAACGGTAGCCAACTATAGCTTTCTGCACTCAATATTGGCCCAACGATTCATCATACAAATACATGACAATGTGTAACGTCACCATTTGAAAATATCAAAAATTAGGCATCTTCCCC